CTACATATACAAACTATCTGATGTCACTACAAAGTTGAATTTGTTCCTAGAATCTAATGTGGGTTTCAAATTCTAAAAATAAATACAATTCACCACATTAATAAAATAAAGCAGAAGGCCGGGCGCGGTGGCTCAAGCCTGTAATCCCAGCACTTTGGGAGGCCGAGACGGGTGGATCACGAGGTCGACAGATCGAGATTATCCTGGTCAACATGGTGAAACCCCGTCTCTACTAAAAATACAAAAAAAATTAGCTGGGCATGGTGGCACGTGCCTGTAATCCCAGCTACTGAGGAGGCTGAGGCAGGAGAATTGCTTGAACCCAGGAGGCGGAGGTTGCGGTGAGCCGAGATCGTGCCATTGCACTCCAGCCTGGGTAACAAGAGCAAAAACTCCGTCTCAAAAAAAAAAAAAAATAAATAAAGCAGAAAAATTAAATGATACTCTTGCCAGTTGTAGAAAAAGCTAATAAAATAGTTATAGTCCAATAATTATAGAAAATCTAACAAAATTCAACACCATTCATGACGATTTTAAAAAATTCTTAGCAAAAAAACTTGATGCACACATAATACTTGATCAAATGCTGAAAGCTTGACCCTGAAATCAGGAAAACGACAGGGGTACCAGCTAATGCCAACCATTTCTACTCAGCACTGAACTGGAGAAAAAAGAAGGAAGGATTAGAAAGAGAGATCTAAAGTAGTCTTTGTATTCAAAGATAACATGTGTGCATATGCAAATATTCTAGAAGAATCTACACATAAACCAACAGAGTTATCAAGTAAAATTTTGCAAGGTCACTAGTGAAAGTTAAGAACATGCATTGCATTTTTATATACTAGCAATAAGCACTTGAGATCTTTTTTTTCAAAACTACAATAGTAAGCTGGGCTCGGTGGCTCATGCCTGTAATCCCAGCATTTTGGGAGGCCGAGTGGGCAGATCATGAAGTCAGGAGTTCAAGACCAGTCTGGCCAACATAATGAAACCCTGTCTCTGCTAAAAACACAAAAAATTAGCTGGGTGTGGTAGTGTGCGCCTATAATCCTAGCTACTTGGGAGGCTGAGGCAGGAGAACCATGTGAACCCTGGAGGCGGAGGTTGCAGTGAGCTGGGATCATGCCGCCGCACTCCACCCCAGGCAAACAGTGCGAGACTCTGACTCAAAAAAAAACAAAAAAAACAAAAAAACAAACAAACGAAAACCTAACACTGATGTCCAAAGCCTTTCTAAAGAACAGTAAGTGCAAAATAAAAATCCCAACAGGATTCTGTGTGTGTGAAATTGATGAGTTGCCTCCCAAAATGTATGTACACATGTGAAGATAAACGTAGGCCAACTGCTCTATCAGACAACCCCAAGTCTCAGTGGATTATTGTGGGGACACTTGTTTCTTGCCCATACAACAGTTCAAGACCAGGTGGGCAGCCTTCCACACAGGCCCTGGGCCCAGGTCACCCGCCCCCAGCAGCTCTGCTCTGTTCTCCTGGGCATCTGTGGTGAAGCAAGCGGGGTGGAGGGCTGTTCAGGGGGCTGTTTTTATGGGCCAGACCTGGAAGTGGCCTTCATTGCTCCTGCCTGCATTCCAGCATGGGAAAGCAGGTGGGGAGAATGAGTACAGCCAGGCGTCCAGGAAGAAAGGGAGCAGGTGTGTGGATGACCACCCCGCCCGGCCCGGTCTGCCCTTCTGGTCACTGGTATCCGTATCACTCCTCCCCTACACAGGAAGCCACTCCCCAGGAGTGGAATGCCCCCCAACACCACCGTCACCGTCCATGCCATAGCTCAGGTTCTTGGGTAGCAGGTGGTCCCTTCCCTCAGGCCTTGGTCTGGCCTGCAATCTGTGAGCTAGGAAGACAAGGAATGTGTCTGCATCCTCGCCATAAGCTGACGTTTGATGGGCGCATGGGGCAGGACAACTAAGAAACACTCCCAGCCACACCAAGAAAGAAGGAAGAACACAGGTCCATGTCATGAGGCGCGTGAGGACAGACGCCGTGGGGCTCCTCCGCTGGGGAGGGGCTCAGCTGGGCTGCAGCTCTCCTCCCGGGGGAGCTCTGGTGTCTGCTGTCTCCAGGCCCTGGTTCTGCTTCCTGGGGTTCCCCCAGTGAAGTGAGGCAGAAGTGCTGCCTCAGCCTTTGGGGCCCTCACCCCTAGAGACGCATCTCTTACCACTTGGAGTTCAAAAGTAACTGGCACGTCCATGAATGTCAGGCACCCTCGTCCTTCATCTCCTTCCTGCCTGGTCTAGCCTACACGCTCCCTCCCCAGGAGGCGATGTGGGGGGAGCACACCCCTGCTCTGCTCCGCGCTCACCAGAGTCCTCCTTCCTGGCGCCCGGCCGCCTCCTGCATCCCACAGGCCTGGGCTTCAGTCTGCCCTGCTCCCTGGCCATCCACCGCCTGGCCAACGTGGCGGTGCCCCCATTTCATGCGTTCAGTGGAGCAATGGAGGATTTTAATGACAAACAAATCAATAGATAAACATATCTCAGGTGGTGACACATGCTGTGAAGCAGAATAATGCAGGTCCAAGGACAGAGTGTTGGAGGGTCAGTTTTACACAGTGGTGTCTGTCACAACACGGGTCTGGGGAAGTCAGCTTACAACACGTTTTATTTTAAAGAAAAAACAACATGAGAACAGAAGCCATCAGAGGGTCCTGTACTTAGGATAAGAACTGCTTTGTGAACCTGCTTTCACGGATGTGCTCACACACGGATGCCTCCACGTGCAAAAGCACACATTGCCATGATATTAAATGTCCTTTCTATCGCAGGACAGAGTCAAAGAAGCCACCATGACACAGAGCAGTTGGTGATGTCTCCCGACACTCCACAGACCTTCGGGCTGTGCGGGATGGAGCCTGTGGCCATCTGAGAGGACATTCCAGTCAGGGGGAGCAGGAAAGCCAGGCCCTGAAGTGGAAGACCCTGGCTCCTGGAGGGGCTGCAGGCCAGAGGTGCTGCCTGGCCACAGGCCCTGCAGGCGTGGGGGACTCTGGCATTTGAGCAGATCCCTCTGGCTGCAGGGTGGAGAAGACGCTCTAAGAAGCCAGAGTGAGAGGAGGGGGACCCAGCACCTCCCATGGTGGGTAGAGCAACAGGGATAGGAAGACCTGCGTTGACGAAAGACTCCTGAAGGAAGAGCCCACACAATCTGAGACAGTTTAGGGAAAGAGAAGCAGAAATAACTTCCACATTTTAGACGACTTTACTTACACACACACACACACACACACACACGCACGCACTCAGACACAGAGGAAAAAAGAACACATGCTTTTTTTAAACACACATTAAATATGAACAATTACCATGTATTAAACCACAATGAAAATACTGATAATTAAAATGAACATCGCCATATTCTCTCTCAGAATGCCATAGGACTAAAAATTAACAATGAAAATGACAGGGGACCTAAAATCTAACCACTTAGAAATTAAAGCATATTCTTTCAAATAATTCTTGAGTTAAAAAAATAAAAAGATTAGAGATTATTTAGAAATGATACAGAAAAGCAGTACTCAAAGTGATAGAGAACAGCAGTGCACAGAAGGAAACGGACGGTCTTAAATACATTTACTAGGAAACAAGAAAGTGAGTGAGTAACCTGAGCATTCGACTCAAGCTAGAGAAAAGCCACGGGCTCCTCCCACCCAGCCCAACCACGTGACAGGGTTTAGTGCGAGGAGCAGGAACAGGCCGTCGCTGAGCCTCTGAGCTGCCACACGTTTTCAGGAAAAGAAAGCATTTTCTGTTAAAAGTGTAAACATTTAAGTCTTTTGCCTTTGCTTTTTCATCACTTCAGGAATTTATGCCACAGAAGTATTCTAACAACTATGGAGAGATATTGGTTAAAAATGTTCACTGGAAGGTTGTTTGAAACAGCGAAAAACAAAAAATCCAAAGGCTCTCCGATAGGAAAAGAGTAAAATATAACGCAGTCATTTTAAGAGTGAGTGTGCCCAAAATATAATGTCAACTGAGAAGACACCATTTTTATGAAAAGGTAAATCTCAGTAACACACATAGAACAGGTGCCAAACTCCTGGGCACTGTCATCTTTGGGAAACAGCATCTGGGGACTTTCTATCTGCCATTATGCTTTTCTGTAGTGTTTGAATGTTGTGTAATTTTGTATTATATTTGTCATCAGATTAAAAACCAATGATTATATTTGAAATCATCAGACCAAATGCACATTTTGGAGATCAGGCATAGAAGAAACCAATCCTTTGTTTATGCCAGTAACGAGTTAAGCTGAATCTTTTAAAGAGAGAAAAAAGGCACTGTTTTAAGCCTTCAGCAGTAATTGATTTAAAACTTACTTTATGAACAACTTTTTTTTTTTTTTTTGAGACAGAATCTCGCTCCATCGCCAGGTGCCAGGCTGGAGTGCAGTGGTGTGATCTCGGCTCAGTGCAACCTCTGCCTCCCGGGTTCAAGCATTCTCCTGCCTCAGCCTCCCGAGTAGCTGGGACTACAGGCGTGTGCCACCATGCCCAGCTAATTTTTGTATTGTTAGTAGAGACAGGGTTTCACCATGTTGCCAGGATGGTCTCGATCTCTTGACCTCGTGTTCTCCCAAAATGCTGGGTCAGTCTCCCAAAATGCTGGGATTACAGGCATGAGCCACCTGCCCAGCCCGAACAACACTCTTAATTATATATGACCCCTATACAAATCCAAACTCTTATCACCCTCTCAAGGAGCTTCTATTGTGCTGAAGAAATCTATTTAACCCACTTTCATTTCCAGGAACACAGCATGATTCAACAACCTAGGAATAAGGTCAATCTATAGCTAAGAAAGAAAGTTGTAACGAAGTTTAAAAAACCAAACCCTAACTGCATTTTGATTACTCAGCTATCTTTGTTAATATAGCAAAGTGACAGAAAATTTTAGACACCACAAATGACTAAAAATTAAGTATCAAGTTTGAAAGGAAATATGACTGTGATTAAGGTGCAGATACTACATATTTCAACTTACATGTTTTGAAAGTAAAACCGTACGACAAGGAACTTTACAAATCAAGCATTCGTTCTTTTCACCTATAGAATAAAAACAGGTTTTATTTTATTACACTGACTACTGCTTTTAATTATGTATGCATGCAGACTTTACAATGTTTATGCAAGAAACAGACAGGGTTACACCATAGGTGTTCATGTTCTGACAGGATGAAGCCATGGGTATGAGTACAGTTGCAAGGATTTATGGAACATCCTTTTCCCCTGCTTTGCAGATATGCACAAAAATAGTGACCATAAAGATTAACAACACTTAAAGCTAAGTCTATCCCAGGTATTTATTACAATTAGGCTTTTTAAAAATTAAAATTCAAATTTTTTTGAGATAAGGTCTTGCTCTGTTGCCTGGGCTGATATGCAAGTAGCATGATCACAGCTCACTGCAGTCTTGACCGCTCCCCCCGCCCTGGCTCAACCATCTTCCCATCTCAGCCTCCCTGAGTAGATGGCACCACAGACATGTGCCACCATACCTAGCTCATTTTTAATTTTTTTGTAGAGATGGAGACTCACTGTGTTTCCCAGGCTGAACTCAAATTCCTGGGCTCAAGCAGTGCTCCCACCTCAGCCTCCCAAAGCGCTGGGATTGCAGCCGTAAGCCACTGCGCCTGACCATAATTAGTTTCTTATTTTTTTGAGACAGAGTCTCACTCTGTCACCTAGGCTGTAGTGCAACGGCACGATCTCGGCTCACTGCAACCTCCACCTCCTAGGTTCAAGTGATTCTCGTGCCTTAGCCTCCCAAGTAGGTGGGATTACAGGCACCTGCCACCATGCCTGGCTAATTTCTGTATTTTTAGTAGAGATGGGGCTTTGCCATGTTGGCCAGGCTGGTCTTGAACTCCTGACCTCAGGTGATCCGCCTGCCCCATTCTCCCGAAGTGCTGGGGTTAACAGGCATGAGCCACCATGCCCAGCCCATAATTAGGCTTTATAGTGATATCGTAAATCTAAAATTTTTAACTATTCAAAATGAATCTCAAGCTTGAATTTCTCACTAGTCAGTTTGGAGCCCAGGACTGATCAGGCGCTACGAGCCTTCACACTCCTGTGTTTCTAGGGAGGACACCAGGCCCAAACCTGAACAAGCCCAGTGGCGCTTAAGAACTAGAAACAAACATCCCTTAAGTGAGAGGTGGATTCACAGACTTGTGGATTCCAACGCTGCTGAGTCAGCAACGCTGCTGGGCAATCCTGCTTTGCATTTCCCACGGGGCTGTTCAAACCAGGCCCCTCATACCACCTACTGAGGAGAAAGAAGCCCTGGCCCATGAACTACCTCAATTTCTCTGCCCTCTCCTCTAGACTGACCCACCCCAGAACAACCCACTTCACTCTACCACCTTCCTTTCTGCCTTGGAGGGAGCATCTCTTCCAGCCCAAGCCCAGGCTTCACTTGTGTATCCACACTCACCTCAGTGTCTGTAGCGCCCAGCACATAGAATGGTGTCCTACTATGGAATGGGGGGGGTCCCCTTCTAACCGCCTCCAGAATTGTGTCTTTTTTTTTTGGAGATGGAGTCTTGCTCTGTCACCAGGCTGGAGTGCAATGGAGCAATCTTGGCTCATGGCAACCTCTGCCTCCAGGGTTCCGGCAATTCTCCTGCCTCAATGTCCCGAGTAGCTGGGACTACAGGCACGCACCACCACACCCAAGTAATTTATTGTATTTTAGTAGAGATGGGGCTTCACCATATTGGCCTGGATAGTCTTGATCTTCTGACCTCGTGATCCGCCTCAGCCTTCCAAAGTGCTGGGATTACAGGCGTGAGCCACTGTACCCAGCCTCCTCTCTTCATCAAGTTGCCCTCATCCTAAAAACCTCTGCCCTTGACAGTATGTCCTTTCCCTTCTAGCTCTTTGACTAGAAATTCTGGAGCAAGAAAATTTCTCTTAAGCACCATCACAGCCAGAAATCATGCAGTAAAAGATTAACAGAGCCGACTCATAAAAATCTAAAAGTTCTTACAGGGGAGGAGGATTCACAGACATGACAGAGAGGAAATCATGTGCAGCTGATAGACTAAGGGATTGATACCTGACCTATAAATAGTGCCTACAAGTCAACTAAAAAGAAACACCCCAATAAAAGGCTGTGAGGAGACCTGAACAGACATAGGAAAAAGTGCAAATAGCCAATAAACACATAAAATGAAGGTCAAGGTCGCTATTAAGAGACACCAAAGAGAAGAGAACAACAGCTGCTCAAGTGTCACTGCAGTGAACAGAAACAGGCACATCCTTTGTGAGAACATCTGGGTCCGTTTTAATGTGCACACCCCAGCCTAGCCACTCCACCTCTAAGAATATATTTCAAAGAAAAAATCAAGTAAGAGAACATGTGGTATCTCATAGCAAAAGAGCAGAAAATATGTCTTTTAGTAGGCAATCAAACAAATTATGGTATGATAACCAAAAGATATATAATGCAACCACAGGAATTATGATACAGACTTATTTTAACACGGAAAGAGGCCCCTGCCTAAGTAATAAAAGCAGATTACTGAATGGTAGACACACTGTATTGTTTCTGTTTTAAAAATTGGCATCTATAGGAAATGCTTAGAAGGATATACACCAGAGTTTAACAAGGGCTTCCCTCTAAGTGACACACCACTGGACAGCTACGGAGCTAGTCAGGGCTCTGCCCAGAGCCTCCAGCCCTTTGGACCATTTTTTGTGTGTGGTCGGATTTGGTGTGGTCGCAACATGCAGCATCCATGGCTTTTTGGAGGAACGCACTCAGGCCACTAGAATCTGCATTGACCTCAGGCTTTAAGAGCTAGACAAACCTGTGAATCTACACCTGCCCCAGGCCGTTAACCAGTCACCTGCCAACATATGGTATGATGACCTGGATATGCTGACCTCAAAAGCTGACACTCTGAGCCCTGTCTTCACAGTTCCCAACACCACGAAGGCACACACTTCTCCATCATTCCCAACAACATTATCTTCAGGGAACATTATCTTGGGTCACCAGTGCCCTCCGTACTGGCAATGGATACTTTCACACCAATGCTCTGACTTCACTGGGATGTCCAGTTCATCAACATCTGTCTTTTTTACCTGACATCCTTCTATCTTCCGTACCTCCCTCAACAAATGCTCTTTCCAAGAAGACAGCATCTTCTAGTTTCCTTCCCCTTTGGGGCTCTCTACACTCCAGTATCTGTTATTATTATCCCATGTTAATGGCTCCCCAGATGCATTCCTGGCTGTCTTGAGTTCCAGCCCCACATGTGCAGCTCCCTCTTGTCTCCCCGTGGATGGCTCTCACAAGACACATGCCATGTCCAAACATGAGCTCAGGGGCCCTGCACCCCATCCTGCTGCACCCCATCGTGCTGGGTTCCCTCCTGCTGAGCTCCTCTCCAGTGTTCTGTCTAGCAGCAAAAACCCTGTCCAGTTCTCCAGCCCTTGTCTAAACATCTGAATCTACCTAACTTCTGAACCCATCACTGCTCCCCATCGCCTCTCCTGTGTTCATCTGCACAGTCCCTCCCACAGTTTCTATCTCCCTCCAATCTACTTTTCACCGGCTGCCAGAGAGCCTTGTTTTTAAATACACACCTGAAATTAGCAACTCCACTCCTAATTACACACTCAACAGAAATGTGTACCTAAGATCACCAAGACAGCTGCAAGAAGGGTCACAGGAGCACTATTTCCACAGCCAAATCTGCAAACAACTCGAATGACCACAGACGGTGGAAAGGATGAGTAACCTGGGTGTATCCATACAATGGAATACCACATAACAATAAAAGTAGATGGACTACTGTATGTACTGTTACATACAAAGACGAATATTGTTGATCCCACTCTTCAGGAGGCCAAGGCAGGTGATCATTAGAAGACAGGAATTTGAGGCCATCCTTGGCAACAAAGAGAGACCACTCTCTGTGAAAAGTTTAAAAATCTGGGTGCCTGGCTGCACATACCTGTAGCCCCTGCTACCCTGAAGGCTGAGGCAGCAGGATCACTGGAGCCTGGAAGGCGGAGGCTGCAGTGAGCGGAGATCCCACCACCAAACTCCAGCCTGGGCGACAGAGCAGAGCTCTGCCTTGAAAGAGAGAAAGGTAAGGAAGGGAGGGAAAGGAAGAAAGACGGGGAGCCCCGGAGAGCGGCTCTGCTGTACGGCTGGTCTTAGGGCAGCATTCACCAATACGCCACGGGTCTAAGGCCATCTCTGACGATGGAGGTCAGCACAGTGGGGGTCCCCTGGGGCTGGAAGGCTGTGAGCCACTGGCACCCAGCTGGGTGCTTTCACAGGGAAGTTCGCTTGGTAAAAGCTCCATGAGCTTTTGCTTCTGTTCTTGCATAAACATCACTTCAACACAAGATTTTCATAGAAAGAAAAATAAACACCTCCCTGACAATGTGACCGCCAGTTTGACACCAGGGCCCAGAGCTCCCCATTGAAATACCCTAGCTTGGCTGTAATGAATACATTTCAAACAATCCTGCTAACTCCATTTTGCCCACCCTGAGCTATGCAGGGCATTCTGTTCTGACAGCTTGTGGCTTGAGACACCTGGCATCTTTGTAACCAATTTTCTGAGAAACAGGGCCCACTGGCCTGTAACTTGCAAAACCGTGCAACTGCTTACCCCCACATCCTGAGTGTAAAAACCACTGTAAGCAGAATTTTTTTTTGTCAGGCATCCCCCCTTCCTCTAACCTGCTCCTTCTGCTCTGTAATAATCTGCTTACCGCCCCCGACCCTAAACTGATATAAAAATGTTGACCGCCCTCGGTTCGTGGCCGAGAGGTTTGAGCTCTAGCTGACTCTCGGACACCGGTATTAAAAGTGGACTCTCAACAAACTCAGAGCGTGGCGCTTCTGTTTACACTCGCTCGGGTTTAACACCAGGGAACAGGGACAGGGTCCTTCACGAGCGCATGGCGGCCACCCGCCCGCTTCTCCCCCACGTCCTCCACGTGGGACCCACGGCCCTCAAGACAGAGCCCCCGGCTAACGGGACCGTGGCCCGACCCCTCCTCCTGGCTGCCCCTCCCCACCGCGGCCCCCTCCTGCCCACGTCCCCTCCCCCACGCCCCTCTCCCCCAGCATCCCCTCCCCCCTCATACCCCCTCACATCCCGCGTGGCCACTCCCCTGGCGTTCCCCTCCTCCCTGCACCCCCCACCACCTTCGGCCTCCCTTCTTCCCCCCACACCCAGCCCCTCCCTCTCCCCCTCCCTCCTCGCCCCTTCCCGACTGTCCCCCTCTCCTCAGCGGCCCCTCTCCCCAGTGGCCCTTCCTCCGAATCCCCCCGTTCCCGTGGTCCCTCACCCCCCATTCCGCGCGCTCTCCTCCCTGCAGACGCCCACGCGCCCCCACGGCCCTCCCGCCTCCAGCCTGCGTTTGGGACGCCCTGACCTTTGCCGAGGCAGGCGTCGCAGTACACGTGCCCGCAGTTGGTGAGGCTGAAGCACGAAGCCCTGCGGGGCGGCTGGAAGCAGCGGTTACAGAACACCCAGTTGGCCATGCCGGGCAGGCGGCTGGGGCGGCGAGGCCGGGCCCACTCGAGGCGCACGCGAGGCCGGCACGGGGTTCCACTCGCGGTCCCGGGGCGGGCAGCTCCGCGCCTGCGCAAACTCGACGGCCGCTCGGCGCCTGCGCAAACCCGACGGCCGCTCGGCGCCTGCGCACTGGAGCTCGCGCCTTCCCGCCAACCCAGAGGGCTGCACCGCGGCACCGCGGAGCGCGCGGCTGACGCCTCTGCTGGGGGGTTTCGGCTGGAGTAGGCGGAGGAACGCACCGCGAGCACCGACGTGCCGCCCCTGTCGTTGGGGTCCTCAGGTGTTCTGTGGAGGCCCGGCCTGGGTGGTGGGCGCGGGGAATGGCGGCTGCGCTGAGGCGGCGTCGGGCGCGCCCACAGTGGGAGGGGGCTTGGGGGAGCACCCGGGCGGGGAGCGCCGAGGGCAGGTGGGCGGGCAGGCCCACCACGAGGGCGGGGAGCTGGGCTGGAGGCCGGGGCGGCCAGGGGACTGGGGGGCGGGGAGAGTGGGCGTGGGGGCCCTGGGAGAGGAACGGGAGCGTGGGAGGGAGGGAGGGGGCGGGGGCGGGAGCTGGGATGTGGGAGCTGGGGTGGGCGCGAGGGTGGGGGTCGGCCGCAAGCGCTGCGGGGCTGGTGTCCACGTGGCTGCTGGCGCAGAGACCTGACCGCGGGAGGCCCTGAGCCTGCTTCCAGCTTCCAGGATGGGGAAGTGACTTTTTACAAAATTGCCCTCCGCGTGGTGCTGGGAGTTTCCACCCGCGGGAACGCTACGAAGTTCGGATCCTCGAGAGGCTCCGGAACGTGCTTGTGCGGGGAGAGCATGGGACGTTCCTGGTAGCTGCGGGCCAAGTGGCCTCGTGCCCTGAAAGGCGTGGGTAAAATACAGCTGTTTCCAGGGCTTCATATAAAAAAACTTAGTAATTTTGCATTGATTACATGTTAAAATGATATTTTTGGTATGTTGGGTTAAATATATATCACTACCATTGATTTTACCCTTTCAAAAAATCTTTTTTTAATGTGGAGTCTAGACAACTTAGAATTACATATGGGTTGAGTATAGTGGCTCACGCCTGTAATCCCAGCACTAAGACTGAGACCAGGGAGTCACCTGAGATGAGTTGGAGACCAGCCTGGCCAACGTGGTAAAACCCCCTCTACTAAAAATGCAAAAATTAGTGGGCATGGTGGCAGGCACCTGTAATCCCAGCTACTCAGGAGGCTGAGGCAGGAGAATTGCTTGAACCCAGGAGGCAGAGGTTTCGGTGAGCTGAAAACACACCACTGCACTCCAGCCTGGGCTACTCCATCTCAAAAAAAACACACAGAAGCAAACTTAGAATCATATATGTAGCACATTTTTATTTCTGTTCGACAGTGCTGACCTATATACCAAGTTTAAAATAGCAAGACCAGCAGCATGGCAAAACCGCATCTCTACAAAAAATACAAAAATTGGCTAGGTGTCGTAGTGGGCTCCAGGGGTCCCAGCTACTTGGGAGGCTAAGGTGGGAGGATTGCTTGGGCCCTGGAGGTTGAGGCTGCAGTGAGCTTGACAGCACCTATGCAGCAGAGCAAGACTCTGCCTCAAAAATAAGTAATAGGGTGAGGTGCCTAATCTATCAAATTCAGAAGCTGCATTATAAAAGTAACGTTCTATCAATGTTGCAATGATGTAACATTAATTTCAATTTCTGGTATCTTTGAAATCATTACAGTAATCCATATTTATGCAGGTATTTTGATTTATTAACTAAAACATTATGCAGATTATTTGTACTTACTGATAATATTTTAAACAAGCTTCTTAGCTATAAAGAAGTCTTTCAGGTACTTCATTTGGAAAATTCCAACTGAGATAAAGATTAGTATTTGTGCAAAAGCCCACCATAAAACATTGCTGTTTGTATCTTCGCTGATCATTCGAAAATTTTCTTCACGGTCCTATGCAGAAAAGAAATAGACAGGCTTAGTGTCATAAAATACTTAACTCATCATTTCGAGGGGAGCGTTGTTGTGGGCAATTCAAGGTATTTAATATTACCCAGTTAATACCTTACACCAATGTAGATGTGCTGTCTGCTTTTCTAAGCCAGAATCTACTGCTTAGCCAACTATAAGAGAGTAAAAACCAATCTTATAAAAGATGTTTTTGTATTTTGGTGTAGAATATCAGGAATTTGACCTATTTATATGTTCTATTTGCTACCATCAGGCAAAGTGAACATTACCCAATAGTGACAGATTTAATCATTTGAGTCCAGCCTTTATGCCAGGCATTAGGCCAAGCACTTGCATACCTTATCTGATCATCACACCCTGTCCTTATCTTCCTGATAAGGAAACTGAAGCTTAGAGATGACACAGATTACTGGCAGGTAGATCAGATTTAAGCCCATATCTGACCCGCATCCACTTAGTGAAGTGACTCAGAAAGCCCCTAATGTCATAAGAATAAAATTGTGATTTGGAAAGCGAGCATACATGAGTCTCTACAAATATATGGGATGCATTTGGAAGCATATATTCATCCTGCAAGCTCACACCCTGTGCTACTGGGCACTTTGTTAGGCACAGGGCATAAAAAGATGAATGAACTGAAATTCTCTTTCCTAGAGGAGCTCATGGTCCAGCAGACAGTGAAGAAAGATTTCTCTCTCCATTCCCTGGGTCCACACAGTTCTACCTCAGAGAGAGAGTGAGGAACAGGTGGTTCATTCTTTCCTTGGTCCAGGAGCTTTGCATTGAGAAATACATTGCTGGCAGCAAGAGATAAAATAAGCTGAATAGGCAGACTCACCCTTTGATAGTTTTGTTCTTTGACTATTTGCTCAATTTGTTCAATTAGATGTTCAAGCTGGAAGGTAAGTTCATTAACTTTGTCCTTTGCCTGAGCAATGGCTGCATCAAGGTCGTGTTCTCCAACTCGAATATCTAAGTGGATCCGCTGTGGAACAGTAAAAAGGAAAATGGCATGTTTCCAAAAACAGCTCCACTCTTTTTTCCTTACTTTCTCCCTCTTGTATCCTCCCATTCCTCTGTCTTTCCTCTTTCTCCCTTCACCCTTTTCATAAGCGGGGGCACTACTTCATTCTGGAGCTCCCTTTTTCCCTCATTGCCACTCTATTCCTTAACTCTACTTGGTAGTCTTTCTTGTAATAATAATGCATTAAGTGGTAAATTACTGACCTTATATTTATACCTTCCTGAACATCAAATTAACTATTAGGTAAATGACTTTGGTATGGAGAAAATTTGATTAATGTTCTGAAGGAAAATTTCTTTACTTATAACTACATTTCCTATTTAGTACAAATTGTTTTCATCAGTTCTGAACCTATTTAGAAAATAGCCAATCACCATCTACTGTGTAAGAGTTTTATTTATTGGAATTCCATTCTTAATTCACCCTTCAGCCTTCACTTGTTTTCAAGCCTGAATAATCACAGTTCTTTTAACCTTCTCTCACAGCTCTTATTTTTCAAACCCTTTAATCAACTTCATGGCTCTCCTTTGAACCCCTTCCAAGCTCTCCAGCTCCCTCTTTGGTTGCTGTGCTGAGATCTGGACATAGGACTTTAGTAAGTTTCTAGCCAGTTTGAGTGTAATGGTTCTGCATACCCGTGTCATGCTTGAATAGTGCTGACGTTGTGCTTATCAACAGGGACATGGGAAGCATATACTCACCAGCCTACTCCCTCCAAATGACACAAGCTTTGTAGAATTAGATTCTAAGCAAATGATGTGTTCACCAGGCGAATGTGAAGTAAAGTAGAAAGTTCCTTGTGGGCCATATAACTTCGACAGTATTACCTAGGATTAAGGATTGCCATAGATTGAGTTTATTATTTTCTAGTTTCCATTCTTAAAAATAAATCTACTCTATATTATCTAGTTAAAAATTGCAAAGTTTCTAAAGAAGAAATCAAATGGCTAATAAACAGGAAAAATATTGAACCTTGCTAGTAATTAAAAAAATTCAAACTGTAGTAAGATAGCCCTTGTTCATTGTCACACTGACAAAGATTTAAAAGTATCCAGGGATAGTGTGGAGAAATAAACACTCTCCCACTACTATTGTCCCACAGAATACCCAAGAACTGTGGGACAGTTAACTACAAAAGGTGTAACTTGACACATAATGGGAGTTCCAGATGGAGGAGAAATGGAGAAAAGAAAAGAAGAAATATTTGAAGCAATAATGACTGAGAATTTTCCCCCAAATTAATGTCAGATACCAAGCCATGGATTCGGGAAGCTCAGAGTATACCAAGCAGGATTAATCCCCTCAGCCCCTCAACTCCAAGATGAAACCAAAAACGACACCTAGGAATATCACATTAAAACTTCGGAGAAGCAAACACAAATAAAAAATCTTGAGCCGCCAGGGGTGGGGGTGGGGTGGGGTGCGGAACCTTACTTATAAAGCAGCAAACGTAAATATTGAATCTGACTTCTCAGAAATATGCAAGAGAGTAGGGTAAAATATTTAATGTATTGGGAATAAAAAGCCACTAACCTAGACTTTGACATCCTGCAAAATTATCCTGCAAGAGATAAGAGGGAATAAAGCCTTTCTCAAACAAAAAGTGAAGGAATTTTTTGCTGGTAGATCTGTGTAAGAAATGTAAGAAGTTCTTCAGAAAGAAGGAAAATGATGTAGATCAGAAACTCAAATCTACATAAAGAACGAGAATTAGAAAATAAGTAAGTGGAGGTAAAATTAAAACTTTCTGTTTTCTTATTCTAAACCGACCTAAGAAATGTCACTTTATTCAAAATAATAGCAAGAATGTATCCAATGATCATAGTTTACATGTAAGTGAAATTAATGACAGCCATCATATCAGGGGCAGCAGGGAAGAATTACGAATATTTTGTGACTAAAAGGCACTTGTGGCCGGGCGTGGTGGCTCACGCCTATAGTTCCAGTACTTTGAGAGGCCAAGGCAGGCAGATCACCTGAGGTCAGGAGTTCAGAATCAGCCTGGCCAACATGGCAAAACCCCGTCTCTACTAAAAAATACAAAACAAAACAAAAAATTAGCCGGGCATGGTGGTGGGCACCTGTAATTCCAGCTACTTGGGAGGCTGAGAAAGGGAGAATTGCTTGAACCCGGGAGGCAGAGGTTACAGTGAGCTGAGATCGTGCCACTGCACTTCTGCCTGGGCAACAGAGTGAGACTCTGTCTTAAAAAAAAAGGGGGGGGGGATGGTTCTTGCACTGCCTGTGAAGTGGTAAAGTATATAGTGTTATTTGAAAATAGACTTGGGCTAATTATATATAGCAAACTCTAAGGCAAATTGATATGCTAAGAGAGAGAATGGAATCAGAAAATGCTCAATTAAAACCACAAAAGGCATGAAAAAGAGAAGAAAAAAAATGGGACAAAGACTGAGGGCAGTGAATAGAAAATGGTAACAAATCAGATATTAATCCAATTTTATAAATAATCACTTTAAATGTTAATGGTCTGTGTCTTTGGCCTGGGTAGAGTGGCACCTGGTTGGTGGTGCCCATCTTACTATCAGCCAGGGACAAAGCAACCTCTTGTTCATCCCAGCTTAGCTTTTGATCTGTACCCATACCTGGTTCATGCCTTGGACACAATGGTCTAAATACACCAGGTAAAAGATAGAGTGGGCTGGGTGTGGTGGCTCACACTGTAATCCCAGCACTTTGGGAGGCCGAGGTGGGTGGATCACATGAGGTCAGGAGTTCGAGACCAGCCTGACCAACGTGGAGAAATCCCATCTTATACTAAAAATACAAAATTTGCCAGGTACGGTGGTGCATGCCAGCTACTCAGGAGGCTGAGGCAGGAGAATCGCTTGAATCCAGGAGGTGGAGGTTTGGTGAGCTGAGGTCGCACCATTGCACTCCATCCTGGGCAACAGGAGCAAAACTCCATCAAAAAAAAAAAAAGAGTGGATCAAAAAATGAGACCCAACTATATGTTGTCTATAAGAAAATCACTTGAAGTGTAAAAGATCGTAGATTAGAAGTGAAGGGATAGGGAAAGACACACCATGTTAACCTTAATCAAAAGAAGGCTGGAGTAGCTTTGTTAATTTCAGGCAATGTAGACTTCAGAAGCAATATAAATTATCAGGGATAATTACATAATGGAGTACAACATATGATAGAGGGGTTAATTCTCTAAGAAGGCCTTAGCAATCCTCAATATGTATGTACCTGACAATAGCGCCTGAAAATATGTGAAGTAAAGCCTGATGGAACTGCAAGGAAAAAATAAATGAACACTCTATTATAGTTGGAGTTTTCAACCTCTCTGTCAGAAATGGACACATCCAGCAGGCCAAAATCAGTAGGGGCATCATTGAACTCAGTAGCATCATCAGTTGACTGGACATAATCGACACCTATGATAACTTTATCTAATGATAGCAGAGGACACATTTTTCTCAAGTTCACATAGAACATTCACCAAGATAGACCGCATTCTGGGCCATGTATCATACCTTAACAATTTTAAAATAACAGAAATCATACAATGTATGTTCTCAGGCCACAGTGGAATTAAACTGGAAATCAGTAACAGGTAGCTGGAGAATCCCAAAATACTTGGAGATTGAACAACACGCTTCTAATTAACACGTGGGTCAAAGAAGAAATCTCAAGACAAATTGAAACTACAACTTTTCAAAATGTGTGGGATGCAACAAAAGCAGTGACTAGAGGGAAACTGAAAGCATTGAATGCATATACAGTTGGCTCTCTGTATCACCACTTTTCACCTCCATGGATTAAACCAGCCATAGATTGAAAATACTTGAAAAAAAAAAAAAACAAAAATAATACACATGAAAAACTACAGTGTAGCTATGCAGCATTTACGTTGTACTATAAGTAATCTAGAGATGATTTAAATTAATTGGAGGTTGTGCACTGGTTAGCTGCAAACAACACCATTTCATGTAAGTGACTTGAGCATCTTCAGAATTTTCTATGTTTGGAGAGTCCTGAAACCAGTCCCCCACAAATACCAAGGGAGGACTACATTAAAAAACAAGATCTAAAATTAATAATCTAAGCTTACACCTTAGGAAACTAGAAAAAGGAGAGGAAATAAAATGCAAAGTAAGCAGCAGAAGAAAAATAGTAAAAAGCAAACCAGAAATCAATTAAAAACAAGAAATAGAAAAAAATCAGCAAAACCAAAAGCTGATTCTTAGAAAAGATTAATAAGCTTCTAGCCAAGCTAAGAAAACAAGAATACCAGAAACTAAAGAGGTTTCAGAAACTGAAGAGGGGACACCATCACAAATCCCATGAACATTAGAAGAATAATTACTATGAACAACTCCATGCCCACAAATTTGATAACCTAGGTGAAACAGAACAATTCTTGAAGTACACAATCTAATAAAATACAGAAAGTAGACAATCTGAATAGGCCTATGTCTAGTAAGAAGTTGAATCAATAATAACTTTTCAAAGCAGAAAGCACCAGACACAGATGGGTTCACTGGTGAATTCTATCAAACATTTAAGGAAGAAATTGTGCCAGTTCTCTACAGTCTCTTCCAGAAGACACAGAAGGAATACTTCCTAATTCATTTTATGAGACCAGCAGAACCCTAATACCAAAACCAGACAAAGACATTGTAAGAAAACTACAGATCATAATATGTCATGAATACAGATGCAAAAACCCTTAACAAAATATTAGCAGCTGAAACCCCAACAATATGTAAAAAGACATCTATACCACAATCAAATGGGTCTTAACTGCAGATATGCAAGGCTGGATTAACATTAGAAATCAGTTAGTGTAACCCATCATATTAATAAGTGAAAAAAAATCACATGATTCTATAACTAGATGAAGAAAAAGCATTTGACAACATCCAACACCCATTTGTGATAAAAATGCATCCAACTGGGAATACAGGGGAACCTAATTTGTTGAAGAACATCTGCAAAAAAAACCTACAACTAATATGCTTACTGGTCAGAAACTGGAAGCCTCTTGGTGCACTGGAAGTCCTGGCTAATGCAGTAGAAGGAAATAAAACGTTAGGAGTTTGGGAAGGAAGAAATAAACTGTCTTTGTTCACAGGTGACATGACTTTGTGTATAAAACCCAAGATAATTGACAAACTGCTAGAACTAAGTGATTATAGTAGGGTTGCAGAATACAAGATGAATATATGAAAGTGAATCACTTTCTTATATACTAACAATGAAAAAGTGGAATGTGAAATAAAAAGTACAGTATCATTTATGTTAGCACCCTCCCCCAAATTACTTATTTATAAATCTAACAAAATATTTGCAAGACCTATATGAGGAAAACAAAACTGTGGTGAAAGAAATAAAAAAACTAAATGAATGGAGAGAAGTCCACGTTCATAGGTAAGAAGACTTGATGTTGTCAAAATTTCAGTTCTTCCTGACTGGATATATAGATTCAACAGAATTCCAATAAAATCCTAGCAAACTATTGTGTGAATATTGGCAAGCTGATTCTAATATTTATATGGAGAAGCAAAAGACCCGCAATAGCCAACACAATATTGAGGGACAAGAATAAAAGAGGACTGAGACTGCTCAACTCTAATTAATTTACTATAAAGCTACAGTAATCAAGACAGTGTTATTGGAGAAAGAATAGACAGACAGATCAATGGAACAGAAAAGAAAGTCCGGAAATAGGCCCACATGAATATGGTCAACAGGTCTTTGACAAAGAAAGGCAATACAATGGACAAAAGATGTTTTCAAAAACTGATGCTGGGTCTGGGCATGGTGGCTCATCCCTGTAAGCCAGGTACTTTGGGAGGCTAAGGAATGAAGATCCCTTGAGCCCAGGAGTTCAAAGATAGCCATGAAAACTGTGAGGCCTTGTGAAAAATGGTGAGACCTTGTCTCTACAAAAGAAAAAAACAAAACTCTGGAACAACTGGACAGCCACATACAAAAGAGAAAATAAGAATCTAGACACATACTTTATATCTTTCACAATATTAACTCAAAATGTGTCAGAAACCTAAATGTAAAATGGAAAACTATAAAACTCCTGGAAGATAACACAGGAGAAAACCTAGATAATCTTGGTTTCATGCTGATTAGCTACATTCCCAAAGGCAAGATCCATGAAAGAACTGATAAGCTGCACTTAAGAAGTTAAAAACTCATGCTCTGCAAAATACATTGTCAAGAGAATGAGAAGACAAGCCACAGGATGGGAGAAAATATTTGTTAAAGACATCCCTGGAAAGGAGTGTTATCCAAAATACACCACAAACTCTTTTCTAAGAATCTCCCTCTGTCACCCAGGCTGGAGTGCAGTGGCACAATCTTAGCTCACTGCAACCTCCCCTTCCCGGGATCAAGCGATTCTCCTACTTCAGCCTCCAGAGTAGCTAGTATTACAGGTGCCTGCCACCACCCGCAGCTAATGTTTGTATTTTTAGTAGAGACAGAGGTTTCACGATGTTGGTTAGGCTGGTCTTGAACTCCTGACCTCAGATGATCTGCCTGCCTTGGCCTCCCAAAGTGCTGGGACTACAGGCATAAGCCACTGCATCCAGCCAAGAATGAACCCTTAAAACTCAACGATAAGAGGCCAGATGCTTTGGTGCATATCTGTAGTCCCAGGCAACTCAGGAGGCTGAGACAGGAGGATCACCTGAGCCCAGAAGTTAGAGGTCAGCCTAGGCAACATAGTGAGACCCCATCTCTCTCGCTGTCTCTCTTTTTTTTTTTTTTTTTTTTTTTTGAGGTGGGAGTTTCACTCTTGTTGCCCAGGCTGGAGTGCAATGGCACAATCTCGGCTCTCTGCTCTTGGGTTCAAGCACTTCTCCTGCCTCAGCCTCCCAAGTAGCTGGGATTACAGGCCTGCATCACCACACCCCGCTAATTTTGTAATTTTAGTAAAGATACTGTTTCTTCATGTTGGTCAGGCTAGTCTCAAACTCCCGACCTCAGGTGATCCATCCACCTCAGGCTCCCAAAGTGCTGGGATTACAGGCATGAGCCGCCATGCCCAGCTCAGACCCCTTCTCTTACACACACACACACACACACACACACACACACCATCTCTTGCACACACACACTCCCCAAACAAGCAAAACCCCTCAACAATAAAAAACCTAATTTTTAAGTGACAAAAATCTGAACAGACACCTCACCAAGGAAGAAGACCAAGAGATGGCAAATAAGCATGTGAAAGGATGCTCAACACCATTTGCATTAGGGAATTGAAAATTAAAACAATGAGATAACCATAACACATCTATTAGAATGGACAAAATCCAAAACACTGAAAACACCAAATGCTGACAAGGACGTGGAGCAGCAGGAACTCTGATTCCTGCAAAACGGAAGAGCCACTTTGGAAGACAGTTTGGCAGTTTCTTTCAAAACTAAACATACTTTTGCCTTATGATCCAGCAATCATAATCCTTGGTATTTACTCAAATGATATGAAAACTTAGGTCCATACAGAAACTTGCACACACCTGTTTATAGCAGCTTTATTCCTAATTGCTCAAACTTGGAAGCAACTAAGACATTCTTTTGTAGATGCATATCTAAATAAACTGTGGTAACTTCTGACCATGGAATATCATTCAGCAGTAAG